GTTCGTGTGGAGACATGCGAGTGGGGGTATCCTATATAATGAGTTTTTATAATATCGGGCCACAAGATAGCCAATCTTTAGATGCAACGCCTTTGACTAATAGATTGCTATTTTATAGGATGACCGGACAACTCATTCTCAATCTTGAGCGAGTTATGGACTCCTGCCCATGAGAATTCTTTCTTTAATCTGTATGGGTGAGAGTGGCCAGAGTCGCTGACTCAACACTCCTACCATTTTGGGGACGAGACCGAGTGAGGAGCTAGGAACATAACTTCACAAGATGGAATTCACTTCTTCCCGACTTTAGGGGAGTAGATGAGTGTTGCCTTTAGTACTGACTCCGGGACTTGAACAAGGGACCCGACTCTCTCACTGGCCCAAGACGGACTTCCGATTATTGGTCGAACCATAACCGGGTTGTTCATTAGAGGATCAGCGGTACTTAAGGTACAAGATGTAACATAGGGGTTAAACGGTAATTTGACCCATCTGTGGTTACGAACACTCGTGAAGGATTAACTTGCCATTAAATCCCCTTGCTAGCTCATAAATGGTAATTAAGTACATTAAATCTTGGAAAGAATTTGAATTGTTAAGATTTAATTAAAGGGAATTTGAGTTAAATGTGTATGACACAATAATAATCTAATGTATGATGATACATTATAACACTATATAATATGAGAGAATAATATGAATTGGATTCATATTAAAACTATAAATTAAAATTTAATGTGAATCAGATTCGTATTAAATACTATAGGTGAGAGGAATATATATATTTGAATATGATTTGATTTAATTAAATTATGTTTATTTAACTAATTAATTAAGATTTAATTAATTATCAATTAAATTAAAATAGTTTTAATTTAATTTATTTATTAAATTTAATTTAATTGAATATATATATATATTAAATTTGTTAATTATGTTATATAACATAATTAACAAACTTACCACAGCATTTTTGCTGTAAGTGGGTTAGGTGACTCCCACTCTTTCTCCCTCATCCCTTTAAAACACAAAGTTTTTCTCTATGTTTGAGTTCGTTGTGTTTTCCCTGGGAAAATTGTACACCAAACACAAGATCTCTCTCCCATTATATTACAAAATCCATCATTTACATGTATTTTTCTTTTCGAGAAGAAAGATCCTACAATCTGGATTCTTGTTGCTAGAGATATACCATGGTTACTTCGTGGTGGTGTTAATTCGTGCATTCGTGTTCGTCTGTTCGTGCCGAATCAAAATATGTGATCGAGAAAGAAGATTTACCAATGGTCTTCAAATGTAAGTCATCTTCTTTCTCAAGAGACTTAACCTCTAATTTAGAATAGAATTGTTCTATTTTAAAAACCGGTAACGTATTGTTTCTAAAACGAATCGAATCACAAGCGATCAATCGCTTTCGCTGGGGATTCAATTCCTTCATGTAGTAGAGAAACTTGGATTAATGGATGAATAAAATAATTAATTGATTTTATTTCATTTTGCAAAGAAAATGATTTTGGATTATTAGAGCTTATAATTTGTAGGTCCATAAGGTTCCTTTGTTGGCTTAGAAAGTAATCAATTGATCAATTATGTTGAAAGCGAATGAAAATTTTGAAATGTTCAACTTTATATTTAACATATTAGATATATTATTGGATATAATCAATGTGTCACATATCGAAAGTTCGTCCAACCATACAGGTCGGGTCAAAAAAAGGATCATAAGAGACCGAGTGCATTCGGCTCAATACCAAGCGCACTGGCAATTGGGTCGTGTGCACCTTAACAATACATACAGAGGACTGCCAGCGGGTAGGACACTGATACCCTGTAACCAAAATGTATACAACTTAGAGGATCACCTAAGGCGCCGCCACACCCTCCATCTGCAACACACAAGGGGAGAGAGAGAATATTGATGGTCCCCACGGGCCCGGGACGCACAACATATTGCTCCCATGTGTCTACCTTACACGAAAAAATCTCTCACTCTCTCCATATACAAGGAAGAGAGCAACCTTAATTTAAGTAAGTCATCTTTCTCTACACAACTCCTTGTGAGGATTCGACACACATTCTCAAGTAGACTCTCCCCCTCGAGATTATTGTCCTCCTACTCTTTTTTCTTCATACCTGTTTGCTCCCAAGTTGAGTCCTAACTTAAGCATCAGAGTATTTTGATAAAGCACCACACTGGTGCTAGATTTATGTGTGCATGCAATATGAACCTAGAGGTGAAGATGTACGTGGCACCTACATGACATTTACGGGAGTGCGCCAAAAAATTAGCGTCAATAAGATACATTAAATTTAAAGGGAATAATGTATTTTATATTAATATATAGTGGGTGCATTAAATAAAATAGATAATGTTGACGGCGAATTTCGGTAAACGGCAACATGGTACACGGATGAGCAGTCCGGCTTGAAACTCAACGGACCTGAAACCAAAATACTCGACACCGGTGCGGTGTCCCGCCTAAAACACTCCGACGATCAAGTCAGTAATCGGAATAGAAATAGGAATAAGACACCAGAAGTATTAGCGACAGATTTTTCACTTACCACGGTGAAGATGAAGGTCTCTCATTTTATAGTCTTAGGGACCGACCAGGAAGGACGATGGTTAGAGGTGGCAGGGATGTCGTGCGTTGTACGCTCGATCAGAAGGGAGCGTGCTTCCAGTAGGTGCAGGGCATGGCACGGCCACCTGCAGCTCTGGGCATGTCGTCCACGGCTGTAGAATGTGCCCGTTGTACCGACAGCATGCATTCCCGACTGCCACTATGTACGAGGCGTAACCGTATATGGTCCCTTGTTCCCTCTAGGGTGGACATGTGTCCTGCTCGGCAATGCCCGCCCCAGGAAGGTGACGGTCAGTGGTCCCAACCTGTAGAGGTGGCAGACGCGTGTCTGCTCGAGTTTCAACCATAACAGATAAAGTTTATATTAATAATTTTATTAATATAGGTGAGATATATTGATAAAATATTAATTTAAGAATTTTAGTAGTACTCAATTAATTATATTTTAATAAATAAGATATATTAAAAGTTAATATTAGGAATTTGAATAGGATTTAATTTTGTCCCCGTAGTTTCTGTAAATAATATTCTTCTGCTTCAAAAGAAATTATTCTAAATTATCTCTTATTTTTTGGGAGTTAAAAAAGGGGAATTCTTCCTTGTTCTTTCAGGGGTTCCAACCAGTCTAAAATTTCCCTCTTTTGAGAGTTACAAAAAAAAAAAAAAATAAAAAGTATTCTTTTTTGTTTACATGAGATTTGGTCTAGTAACTGAGTCATGGCAAAAGAAGATTTATTGAAGATTCCCCGTAGGTGTGAATACGAGAAGATTGAGGGGCCGTTTGTTTCGTGGGAATCCGAGATTTCCATGGGATCGGCATCCAGATTCTCATGTTTGTTTGATAGGAATGTTGGATATCCGGGTATTCTTAGATGTCCGAGTATCCTAGGATGCCTATATGGGAGGCATCTGAGCAATTTTAGATACCTTCCTGTAACATGGGTTTTTAAGATTCCTGTGTCGAGTGCATCTTCTTTGGACAATTTTGTCCCTCATCATTTTTGTTTTATAATATTTTTTCATCAATAAAATTTTTTCCTCATTTATTTTATTTTATACTAAAAATAAATGTATGCACTAATTCATTGATGAATGTCTAAATACAATTTTATTTATATGCTCCAGTTTGATATAAAATAAACATTAGTCAATAATATAATATCTTAACTTATTTTTAATTCAAATCTAGTGTACAATCTTTGGTTTATTTTACTCTTCTAATAGTCACCAAACATAAACTGAAATTGACATAAAAATATAATATTAAAACAATAAAAGTAATTTTTTATATGAATTCAAATAATATTAAATTTAACATATAAATTATATGATGACCGGTAAGGGCATGTTTGGAACATTACATAAATTTACAATATTCCCACCAATAATTCCTGTAAAACAAACGTGACTATCAAAATATTTACAGATATTCTTAAAAAAATTTCTACAAAACAAACGTGGCTATATGAAATTCCGGACATCTAAAATTTCGGGCATATGAGATTCCAGACATTTGAAGATATTGGACATCTACATTTCCAAAAAAACAAATGATCCCTGAGTGTCTTCAAAGATATGTTATTACTACTATATATTTTTTAGTTCAACAAAAAATTCAATGTCAATCCAATGTCTAATTTCTAAATTGGTTAGAAATTAAAAATCTTCCGTTTCTATTTGTTCCTATTAAAGAAGATATGTCTTGTAGTGCGGCTCTAATGTTGGAATTTCTAATAATATATGGGATAACAATTATGTAATGTGTTTTTTTATTTAATTAAATCCAGGGGAGTGATGTAATTATCTTCTATTTTTGTATAAGGAGTAATTATAAATTGACCATGGGTGAACATGTAGATACCCTAAGTTATATTATAATTTGATAAGGGGCCGAATTAGAATTGAACAAACATTGTGACCAACCTGCGGTGTTTTGGACGGTTACAGAGGAATCATGGTTCCCAATACCAAATAACCGAATGTTTTTCTATCTATCCCTTCAGAGAGAGAAAATTCTTCTTCTTCTTTACCGTAAAGAAGAGAATTGAGAAAATCCATAAAGGAAATCGCAAACTATCTGGACTTGGAAGATCAAATTTGTGCGTTTCGACTTTGAATTATGGATCAAAGTACGCTTTTGCATATTTGGATTTAATTATCTTGAATTGACATGAGGAATCAATCTATATGGCTTTTAAGTTTCAATTTTTAATTTTCCTAATTTCTAATGCCAATCTCGTCCGGAGAAAAAAGATATTTAAGGAATAATTTGAGATGGCAAACAAAATATTTTCATGAAAAGTTCTATCTATTGCAAAAAGAAAACGTACTTAATTAGCCCCAAAATTAAGGTATAAAAGAAAATAGACTAAAGAGAAACAAAGCTAGGGATAGAGTGATAAAGAGGTCTCAAACTAAACAATCAATACAAGGAAAATTGTTGCAATTACTTCATTTCATGTACTAGCACTCAACAAAATGTCACTCTAGAAGTGAAGCACCTCTAAGGGCAAGGATCAAGAATGGAGCTCCTACGATCCAGCATACGTCTCTGTTGCAATTGCGAGATGAATATATCGTCCCACATTCGATATAGAAGATAAAATGATTAATAGCTTTTAAGTAAGGGAACATCTCCATTGACACAATACCTTGCTAGTAAAATCAAAATTAAATTCTTGCAATCTTCAACTTCTCACCTTCGCATTCCAAGCAAGACACCACTGTTTCTACCAAACGCACATTTTGCACCACTCTTATCTCAAAGGAAAATATTTTATGCACCAAGAAGAATTAATTACATCTTTCCTACAATCTCAACAAGAGCTACATATGTCCCAAGTGTGGCAACTAGAACACCAATCACTATGATACTAGTTATTATCACAGTCTCAAATCTAAATCTCCTGTGGTTGCCCGAAATCTTCAAGTAACACACGCATGGTAGTATAATCGAAGCGGTCATGCTGAGAAACGCTCCAACGAGGGACATTAAAGACCCGAAAAATGGAATTGTCAGAGCTACAATGACATTACTGACCAACAAGGTGGTACTTATTAGGATAGTAAATGCCTTAGTGTTGTAGTTCAATGGAAATCGATTCTTAATGGCATTCACGATCGGAACAGTCATTAATGCATATTTGCAAATGGGGTTGATCAAGGTTGTGTATATTGCCACTAAAGAGCTGAGTTTTCCCTTCGGAAGATTTAAGGTTATTTGTGATTGAATGTCTGAGCCAAACATAGCGTATCCCATAATAGCCATTGAGGCATAGCCAAAAGTGCACATGATGAAGCAGAGAGTTAGAACCTGCCCATGTAGAAAGAGTCACCAATTGAATAAAAGGTGTAATCTATGAATCCTTTTTTTCAAATTTGTCCTTTGATCTTTTAAATGTTTCAATTTATATCCCTTGTGCATTGAAAATAGTAAATCCTTATACTTCATTAATTAATTGAGGTGAAAATATTATGATTCTCATTTCATTTAGCATGCGGTAATGTACTTATACTAAAAAATATTTATTGTTTAGAAAATTGACTCGTTAAAATGTTGATATACTAAAAGTTGACATAAAATTACCATTTTAAAACTCATATATTTTCATCCTTAAGGGATGATTGAAAACTTTTATAAATTAGGGACAAATTTAAAGGAAAAAGGGCGCGAAAAGTGAAAAAATGGAAATGTGGTTTGTACTTACATTGGAGAACTGGCGTTTGTTCTTCATGGAAGTGTACAAGGTTGGGAAAACTGGATGAGCGCAGTAACAAAAAGCAAATAAGCTGATAGAATTTGGAATCCCTTTCCAGTTGATGAGAGTCCCTTTCTGTTGGAATCCAATTCCATCAAAAGCACCACACCAAACTACAGAGCCGAGGATAACGGTCGATGCCAGAACACCGCTAGCTGAAACGAAAGAGAGAAGACTCATATCGTCTAACCAAACCGACGGCAAGATAATGAGAGCAATGACCAAAACAAAGAATGCTTGTCCACTGATTGTAAAGCCAATGAGTCCAAATCCGACATCAGGAAACATGTTGTCTAAGTTATCTCCTTCGAGAATTAGAAATCCTGTAGCAACCATATACAGCTCCACATACATGAAAATTGAGACTATTATCTTCCCATTGCTTCCAAATGCAAGCTCACCAACTTCTGGATAGGTTCTGATATCAGACTTCACATCCATGCATCGTTGAATTAGTAAGCCTGTGTAGAACGTTATGAAGGCGATCGCGAAAAGGAGTATTAAACTTAGCCATCCGCCCGACGCAAGCGCGTAGGGAATTGAAAGAAGCCCAACTCCTGAAAAGTGTAAGAATCAAGGATGAGGATAGCATATAAGTGTAAGAATCAACAAAATTATTCCAAACTCACCTTTAAATTATTCAAAACATATCTTCAAAATAAAGTACAGTAAAAGAAGAAAAAAGAGGGAAGGAAAACGAAACAGCAATCTACACTACAACGTTGTTCTCCCCACTAAGAATTCTTTTTTGTGGGCCTCCTTTTGACAGGACCTTAGAACTCACATTATCCATAACTTTACACTGTTGCTTTTCGATAACATGTGAAGTTTCAACCACATGAAACCAACCTACAAATAATATCTTTTGGGACAAATTTTCCTAAGAAAAATCTAAATAGTTGTCAAGAATGGTAAAAAAGGGAAAAAAAACAAACAAACAAACAAAAAAGTCATAAATAATTGGCTTATTTATTTTACCTGAGAGAGTATTGAGGAGGTTGAATGAGGTTTGAAGGAAAGAAGTTTTTTCTGAAGGAGAAGAATTATCAATATTATTGGACTCCACTTCCTCGAAACTCAATACCTGTCCCTCTAATTTCTCCCCAACCAGAAGGGGTACCCTTAGAAATGAATCTAAGAACATCTTCAATTTCATTCTTGTTAGAGACAAGTTACCAACAACAACTCTAAGAGTGGAGAGAGATGAGTGAAGTGTTTGAGGGATTCTCTCTCTTAAATAATGCGAATATAAAGAACTGGACCTCGAGTGAGAGTTACTTGGACGGCTCAACTTTTGCAGCTTTGATAACTTAAGCATTTAACATGTGATGAAGTTTTAATAAGAACGTGAAATTTTGTAGCAAATAAACGTGTTAGAAATAGAGTAAAATTTGACCCACCGCGTGAATAGAAGTTTGTTGGGATTTGTACACGAAATAAAAAGTGATATTTGATACAATCACTCTCGATTGCTACACATTGAATATACAAGTTTGGATGCTAATTTAGCAAATTTTAGAAAGAGAAAGCATCATAAAAATAACAGCTATAAATTAATTGTAAATATAGCAAAATCAAAATACTCGCAAATTAAGAGTCACTGTTAACCGATATATATCAATCAATAGTTTACTTTCACTATAGTTGATCAAAGCTAGGTTAATGAATCATTTGTGACTACCATCAAATAAAAGTTATATAATTTCGTAGCTTTTTCAATTTGATCCCTCTTATTACGGGTGTAAGTTAGTCGGGTCGGGTTGGTTATTTGGGACCTAACCAAACTAACATGAAGTTGGTCGATTTCAAATGGGGTCGGGTCGGGTCATTTTCGTCTTTTTACCTTTTTGCAAGAATCGAGCCCCATCTACCAAAAGTCGTTCTTCACTCGAAGAGAAAGAAGGAGAGGGGATCAATCAATTTACAGACCCACCATTTGTGCACCTCTCTCTGTTACCATGGTTGAAACTCGGCCTAGTTCTTTCTCCAAACATTCTCTGTCTTCACCCATGGACAGGGCTAGGGTATAACAGACTTCGGTTGCTTGGGTCAAACCGAAACCAAACCAACATTTACTATAACCGAACAGACCCGACCCGAGCCTCTTAAAATCGATTTGGCTTTTTGGTCGATCAGGTTCTTTATACTCCTACTCTTTCATTTTGTAAACGTTTCTATTTCAAGCTTTCATGTCATAGTCACTCATTATCCTTTCCTTATCCAATCATTCGATTATCTTATTTATATCCTCTACCTAATGATAACGGGCATTTAAAATTTTTTAGACATTTTAAACAGTTTAAATTCATCACAATGGGAAGAACTTAATTTGTTTTTACTTTTGATTGAAATCAAGCTACCAATATAAAACCACACCAAACCAACCCAACAATCTTTGAAGTACATGGACTAAATTGTTACATATTAAAATTCATAACTAAATTCTTACGAATTTTAAAATATAATGACTAAAGTATTAAAAACTAAAATTCACTCACTAAGGGCTCGTTTGAGAACCATTTCGTTTTTTTGTTTTTAGTTTCTAAAAAACGATATTGTTTGATAACCAATTCAATTTTCTATTTTTGTTTTTCAAAAACCATTTTGAAACTCTACGTAAATTTCAAAAAAAAAAAAAAGTAGTTTTCAAAAAGATTTTTGTTTTTCAAAATCTCATTTCTTCTTCTAATACTCAACTTTTTTTTCTTTCTCATATTTATGTTTAAAAAATTTATTTTTCATTCTAAATTTTTTTTTTATTTCTAAATTTTTCTCTACAAACTTTATTTTTCTCTCTCTAAAATTTTCATATTTTGAATATTTATTGTTATTTCTCTCTCTCCAAAATTTTTTGTATTTTTATTTTTTTCTAACAGACTAGTTTCATTTCTTCCTCTAAAAATTTAATATTTTTTCTAATTTTTTTCTCTCGAAAATTTCATATTTTATAACTTTTATGTCTCTTCGTAATCTGTTTTTTCTTATAAAAATTATATTTTATTTTCTCGTTCAATTTTCTTTCATTGTAACTTTTATTTATCTTTGTATTTATTTATTTTATATAAAATTATATTTTGAATCTTGTTTTTAACTTTAAATTTGTTTCCACCGTAATTTTTCTCTTTCTTTATAATTTCTTTTTTTGCTTTAACATATCTTTTCCTCTCGACTTTATTTTTTTCTCTAAAATTTGTCTCTTTTTGTCTTTAACTTTTCTTTCACTATTTTTTTTCTAAATATTTTTATTTATCTCTCTAAAATTTATCTTCCAAAAGTTTATTTACATCTCTATTTTCATGTCTCTACAATAGGGGAAGACAAAAGTTTCCAAATGGTCAGATCCAAAAATAGAAAGTGCACGTCCCGACCCCATCCCCGTCCCTGATTCCGTTTCTCTAGAACATCTCTCGGACCCAAGAATAAGGTGGAGACGGAGACTAAAAATTTTCACGAGCCCAGGAATGAGGGAGAGCATCGTTACTCGCACCCACACCATCTCTACTCTACATAAAATTTTCTCTGTTTAATATGTATTTTCAATTTTCTAACTTTTTAACAATACAAAACTAGAAATGGTTACCAAACATATTTTGGTTTGTTTTTTTTTTAAAACAAAAAAACAAAAAATGGTTATCAAACATATATGGTTTTTGTTTTTTAAAAACAGAAAACCAAAAATCAAAAACTAAAAACAAGAAAAACAAAAAATAAAAAACTAAAATGGTTATCAAATGGGCCCTAAATTGTAAAAGTTAAGAATACAAAGTTTTTTTTTTAAGAATAAACACGTGTTTATATATTAGTGAAAACATGTGTTTAAGCCGTAGAAATTTTCTAAAATTTTTAGTAGTACGAGAGTATTGATTCCCCTCGTTCACACTATAATTTTACATATATAAATAATTATTTAATGATCTTTGAATCCCCTTCATTTTTTATACCAACTTAGCTAACAATGAAAGGGAGTAGTCTACTCCCATAGTAGTAGAAAATTTCAAATCTCCCACTATACCACAAATAAATGAGATTCTCTAAAATAGACTAGGGATGAACAAATCAAATCGAAAAACCGACCAAACCAATGTAGCTCAGCTGGTTTAAAATATGTTGGATCAAGGTTGGTTTTGTAAAATAAACGATAAACGCTTGGGTTGGTTAGAGCAGTTGAAAAGTACCATTTGGATCGATCGATTGTATTTAAAGAAAAAATACACTAGTTTAGATTGTGACGTGAATCAAGCATTTCATTGTTTGGTAAAATATATTTTTGGTCTTAAATTTCGAAGCAAGTGTATATTTTTTGTCCTTAAATTTCAAAATAGGCACTTTTGATCACAGGTTTAAGTAAGAAATGGTTCTAAATGGACCCTAAGCTCATTTGACCATTAGTTCAACTAATGTCGACAAAATATATTAATTTAATAATATACTTGTGGTTGACTTTCTGTCAAAATGGCACGAGATTAAGAGATTTGTACTACCCTCCCTCTTCTCTAACGAACCTCACCGCCACCTACCATCGTTACCCATGCCATCCTTTCCACCATTGCCTGCTTCAATCCAACCGTGGCGACTTCTTCTTCCAATCTAAAAATTGCATTTTTCTCCTAGACATAGGGAGGAGTGAAGAGGAAGGAGGAAGATGAGGTTCCAGAGGAACTTCGAAAAGAATGAGGAACCTACTCTTCATTCGTTTCTCTTCCTTCTTCGATGAGGAAGAGGAACGAATGAAGAGGAAGAGGAACTCGTGAACGTTCTAGATCTGAAATTAGCGATAGTCGGTTCAAAGTGGGCGGTGGCAAGGACAACAATAACATTTGCCAGAGAAGAAAGGGAAGAAGGAGGGAGGAAGATAAGATGAAGACAAAGAAAACGAAAAGAGAGAAAGTCACTCACAAATATATTATTAAATTAATATATTTAACCAAATCAACACGTAGAAGCTAGCTGTTGGGATTACGGTGGAGCAAATAAGATGGAAAGTGTTAAGGATCCCAAATTAGATAAGGGACCTAACAAGGATTTATAATAGACATGGGCTACTTCTCTCATTGCCAATTGGTTTTGAGATGGACCCGATGAATATTGATATGGTATCAAAACCCAAAAGCTCAAACAAGCATTTGGTCCATGTTTATGCAAGAATATGCACAACAGTGTATTTCAGATTGCAGCTCGAACTCGACCTCCGGACCGTTCTGGATACTTGGGCGGACCTGCACAAAAAGGTGAGCACTCCGACGATCAAATCAGTACAGGTCGGATTCCTAGTTTAGTTCGAGGTCAGAAATCATCGTACCTGATCGTGGAGTGAGGTCCTCTACTTATGGGTGGTAGTCTCGCTAATCTCGCGACGGTTACACCCGGTAATCTCG